CATGATCGAACAAAATTTCGCTGAGTTTGTAAAACAAATGAAATATGATTAATTCATGCGGTTTCTAAAATAGCTAAAATGTTTTTAGAAAAAGTTCAAATAATCGTTTCATAAACTGTTGGAAATAATTGAATTTGGTATAAATAATAATGGCAAGTATCCTCAACATTTAATAAAATAAAATAAAGAATATCTCTTTGTCTTTATATTTTTACTTAATGATCTCAGAACTTTTGATCAGACGTAAGTATAAATATCTCTAGAGGTCTACAGATGATTCTAACCTATAGCAAGGCAGCTACTTCCAAGCAGTAGCATTTAAAATATGTTAAATACAAAACACCTATTATTTCTACTGCTGATCAAGCTGAACAAAATTATATCGTTTCATCGTTCATAGCAACTAATAATGCCTTGCATCATTGTCTAATCACCTGATACAACTCATTGCATCATAGCCTATTCATGAATGACGGATGGTAAGAGAGTTTGTTTACTTGACACAGTTATCAAAAGTTTACAAAATGTTAGAATAAGAATCGGGTCGTGAGCAACATTGCACGACTGTTTTCTTAAATTAGAACTAAAAAGTGGATCCATTCACACTACTTGCATTACTAAGTACAACTTTTCTTCTTGATTACAGCCATTACATCAATTTTGGATACAATTCTTGAAAATAAGATGTACGGACTGTGAACGTTCTGTCGTTTGGTCACAGGCATCCTAAGACATAAACAATTGGACGACTTACATATGGTAACTCCGCAAAAATGGACACAAACCGATTAAAAAGCTGACTTAAGTTTTCATTTTGCGCTGATAATAGAAATCAAGAATACTATAGTCTATTCGTGAGACTTGAACCACGCGTGTTTCAGCATCCTGGGAGATGTTGTGATTATTCTGACTACAAAAGGCATATACTCTCCATATTAAGCACAACAGAAAGTATCTGCAACTTAGCATAGTTGCTTTTCAGCAAAGGTTCGTCTTAACTGTACAACTGTTCCTCACTAGCCAGCGGCACTTTACATAAAAGTAATGAATTCATTCGGATACATAAAAGAACATATGCTCCATCAGAATCTTGAAGAGCCTAATAGAATTACAGTTCAAAGATTTCGAAAATCGAGCGATATTATCTTGGTCGGTCTACTCATTACTCTAAAAGAAAAATCTGCTTTCAGCTTAGCCTTCAACGAAATTCCAAAACAAAAAACAAATTTTGACTGTAAGTAGAACGCACCGCGCTTGCTCCTATATAAACATTTTTGTCCGAAAGAATGGAGAATTGTAATTTCACCAAATGTGAGTTTCGCCAATTGGCGAATTTCTTCATGAAATTCACCATTTTGAAAAAATTCAATTGTAACTCAACTATAGTACTTGACATACTACTCGATCAAATTGAATCAGTTACGATGTATGGAAGTACACCAGTGAAAAATTACAATTGGTGAAACTCACATTTGGCGAAATTACAGAAAGCCGAAAGAATGACTTGCAAGTCACTTATCTATTCAAGATCCCAAAGAGATGAAAAATCAACAGTCAGTCACAACCTCGCTGGACTCCACTGGCAACCACAGCTGCCACAGGAGTACATTCTAAATTTTTCGGCACAGAGTGTATTATAATCAATTGAAATCTCAACCGTCAATAAAACATCTGCGAAAAGATCTAAAGGATCGCAGCTTCTAATTATTAGCCATGAAATATGCTCCATAGGTCAGCACTTCACAGCAATCGCTGAGACAATTCTGAAAATTCTAATTAATGTATTTGATTAAAAAAGCACCTGTCGATGCACAACAACAACATTAATGTCTCTATATCTCGATCTTCAGCAGACTCTGAATAACAAGCGCTCGACAACTCGTTGTTAACAATCACCAATGAATACAACAGTAAATTCTATTCTTGTCATGAAAGAAATGTTTGAATTTTCACCTCGGCAGTCAGTCTTTTATCATATAGATTCTTGGAAATTTTCAGTTCTATCTATGCAGCTGCTATAGAACAATGGCCTCTTAAAAATATTTCATGAATAGTAAAAATTGCGAAAATTTAGCGACTTTTTCCTTAATTTCTATAGAAAGTGGAAAGTTCAATAGTTTTCGATGTAGTTCATGCCAAAAGACACAGAATGTACTTTTTTGACGACGAATATATCATTGTTAATAACATAGAAAAGACTTTTCACCTACCGTTGATTTTCCAATCTGTTCAAGGCGTCTAAGAGACAATTACTTTCTATACATTTATTGCGAATGTAAATTCTTCTACAAGCAGATCGGTGCATTGTGCTAGGATTGAAACTTTGACTGCATTCTGTGACTTTCTTGAAGCACGTATTTGGAATGATATTCCTCATCTAGCAGTGGTAGATCCGATCTAGGTAATATCTTGCGACTTTCAAAAGCGTTTATTGCGGTTCCATCTAATTCTTTAATATTCTGAAAAACGTATATTTTTACGTATATCTAATCAATTTGGCACGCATATTCATGATATATGGTATGAAGAATTTCATACTGACGACGAAACTCTGTTGCAGAAACAGATATATTTAGATTTTGACCTTTTCAAGAGACAGATTATTGCTGTGGTCTGCATCGAAATACTTCTATCATACATACCAAAAGTAGAAAGAAAATCAGAAATGAGATTCGAGTTTTCCGAGTGAAGACTATTACAGTCAGAGAGGAGTCGCATTTTTTCGACGGTAATTAAAAGCAGTACTGCAGTTTTCTTATGGCCTGATAGCAATTCTAACTGGATCTAAGATTTCGACATCTTATTCAAGTGAAAAAAATTAACCAGCTGTGTACCTCTTCTCCTTACAGAACAATTGCCAATCATCAAAAAAAGCTTGCTTCACTGATCTAAGCAGTCGATGAAGTTCTTAGAGTGAAGTAAGTTAACTAATTAGATTTACTTCATCGATTTTGGGAAGTTGAGTGACCGTCATGGACTCATTTGCTAAGCAGCTGTCTGAAAACCTGTTTGATTACAAGAAAATTCTCCAATAAATTAAATTAGTCTGTTAAAAATCGTCTAATAATGTGTTCCATTAATGCATAATGTTGAAAACTAATCCCATGATTCTGTTATAGACTATCAAAACTTGATTGGTTACTTCTCAGTGATAGTGTGTGGTCACCCAAGCATAATAGCCAGCATAAATAAATATTTTCTTTGCATTTGATTCCACAGGATTCTATATGATTTTATATGATTTTAACACGATAGAATCAGCTTTTTCCCCCTTGCCATAATATATAGTTTTGGTTCATTTTTTTGTTTGACTATGGAACTATCTGATTTTTATCTAGAAATGTTCCCCGCAATTGTGTGATCATTTGTATTTATGTTACCCGATATCATAATTTGTATACAAATCGATAAAGATCTCATTGCTGAGTTTATGCTATAAATACGAGATCGTTCTAGTTACTCTACCTGGTGGCTAACTCGAGCAATGTTTGGGATAGTAAATCTGGAAAAATAAAGCTAAATTGCAAATTCTGAAAACAGTTATCAGGGACGAAGCCAGAACCAGCAACCAAAAATATATCATTTTATTGCAAAGTGACTCCTATACATTTTGTTAAGAGCTCCGAAATGGTCAAATACTTTTCTCGATGCTCGATAATGTAGTGCATGGCAAATTCTGATTTGCGGCAAATCCCAATTTTTCAACATCTCTATATAAACTGATTATAAAAACTAAAAAGAAAACCATTCCATTTGACAGAGCGCTTTTGAGTCAGGGTTTCGTACAACTTGTAGCCCATAGTGAGCTGTGTCTATGGGGAAAAACGTTCGGACTTCTGACTGGTTTCTGAGGAGATATCGAGCTCCTAATGAATTTTCTCTATGGTACACTTACATTAGCAGCAAAGCTATGTTCTCGAGTTTTGACCTGAAATTTTGCCTATATAAAGGCTCCAGCTAGATTAATTTGAATAAAAAATTTCAGAAGTTTTAAATAAACTATGTTCAAGAAGATATGAAACTTTCAAGATGTAGTCCCTTCTTCATAACAAATATATATAATTTGCATTTTTTTCAGATCTTCGTGTCTTGACGAAACTTTATTCACAACTACTGAAATTTTTTGTGCAAGCTAGCACAGCTGAGATAGATGTACAGGCAAAGCTTCATGTCAAAATTCGAAAATATAGCTTTGCTGGTAATGAAGGTGTACTGAGGAGAAAATTCATTGGGAGCTCGATGTCTGCTCAGAAACACGTCAGGAGCCCGAAACTTTTTCACCACAGACTTAGTTTACTATGAACTATCTTGAGGGTGTAGGGTGTGGGTGGTGTGGATATCAGTGCCTGTAACACACCTTCACTCACACTCACACTAACATACCCCCACACCCATACCCACTCGAGACATCCAAACCCACACTCACACCAACACCTCAGACCCACCTACACCCACACCCCAACAAAAAAGTCGTAAAACAGACAAAAAATAAGCGGCAGGGTATAACCTATGGGAAAGCCACCAACTCCTTTCTTAGAATTTCTAGAATTCCTTGATTGTCTTGAATTCCAAGGCAATCCCGAAAGTGACGATAAAGACATTCTCTTCACAAAAATTATAGTGAAATTCGAGGAATTCAATAAAATCAAGCAATTCTGGAAATTTTCTTGAATTCTTTGAGCTTCATTGCAATATAAACTTATGAGCCAGTATGTTATGTGTTTTTCTTGAATTTCTAGAATTTCCTAGATTCCTAATTTGAAGATAGTAGTTAGATCTCTACTTATTATAATATATTATGTCTTGTTGTTTTCTTGATAGATGGGCTCTGTGGAAATTATTCTAATTCTACTATTTTTTCAATCGCTGGTAATGGAGATGTCCTCTATTCAGTAGTCAAAATACTAAAAGCACATCTTTCTGATCCAAGTATTTATTCAGCATCACCTACCAACAAAGACAACACCATGACTACAACAACAGCATGTGCTTTTGATAAGATGGCTACAGCCGCCAAACAAGCAGGTGTCAAGATTACCATTGCTTCTGGTTTTCGAACGATTGCTCGTCAACAATACTTTTGGAATTGTTATCAAACTAAATCATGTAATGGTGGCCATCGAGCTGCTCGTCCAGGTACATCAAATCATGGTCGTGGTATTGCTTTAGATTTGAATACAAATTGCGGCTCTCAATCTGGTAGTCGGCCGTCTTGTGCAGGAAGTGCAGTTTATCAATGGTTATATAAAAATGCACATAATTATGGATTTACACGTACTGTTCAATCAGAACCATGGCATTGGGAATATGTTGGTGCTGGTGCTACTCGTGCTTCATTTTCATAAATTTCGATGAAGAAAAAGAAATATCTATCGAGGGAATCATATGATGAAATGAAGAATATGAATTGGAAATAAGGAATTCTTAAAGTTTCTTTACTAAAAAATATAAACAGGTTGTGGCGGATCTAGTGTTCAGTTTGTGACTGATAATGAGCAATGTGTAGAGGGATGTTTGAATCTATTCTAATAACTGAAACGAATTCAAATAGAAGGAACGAATCAATTAATTATTCTATGAGAAATAGATATTCGTAGAATCTCGTTTTATTCCTAATGTATCATTCGATGAACAATTCTATCTAAATCAGATAAGGATGTTTGAAATAAACGAGGGTGGTTGTGGGTGTGGGTGTGGGTATGGATGTGAGTGTTGAGTGTGGGTGTGGATGTGAGTGTTGAGTGTTGAGTGTAGTGTGGTTGTGAGGAAATTGTACCCCGACACCCACATCTACACCTATTCACATGCTGATGAAAATAATGTCGAATCAAAGATAAATGTATTGAAGTTTGATGCCGAACATGAATCAATATTCAAATCGTGCACTAAATCGGCAGTATTTACCGTTCGTTCCTCTATATCTAGTCTTCGTTTAGTGGTTACGAATTTGAGTTTTACTATCATATTTCACATTTTCCCATAAGACCAGTTAAAAGAAGTATAAATATTTTATTTGAAAAAATTGTATACCCATTATTTCATATAAAAAACACAAACACATTGATACTACACAATATTATTCATAATCAAATTAAAATACACCAATAAAAAACAAATTTAGAAAAAATGAGTCGAATTTTCAGAGACAATTTCGATTTTGAGCTAGATGTACAGAAATATTGAATGAAGATTGTTTCATAAACGCCAATATCTAAAATGTAGGAACAGGAATTTTTAGCTTCAGTTTATTAATTTAACGATCCTAGTGGCAAAATTTATTAATAAACATGAAATTACTAATAAATTCAATTTATAAGATATTCTATGATTAATCTTAAAATGAATTCGCTTTGGATCTTCTAATTTACAAGGTATCATCTAAAATAGAAAAAGTAGTACGAGAATAAGAAACATCCTTTGGTTTAGTTCATTATAGATATAGATTGATCGATTAGATTGTTATTCATAATCGCTCAATCTCATAGTTTCATAGTGATGCTACTTGTAAACAAAAACTTGTTTTTAACTTAAAATTCGATTGGACTTATTTTAAAAGATGCTTGAAAAATCGAATTCGTACTTTTGTTTTGTAAAGTCTTAAATTTTGTTCATTATCGAATTCTATGAAAGATATCAATGATTCAATAATCATTTATCACGATGATTGTTGTCGATTTCGAAAATATCGTTTTTTTTCAGAAACCGCGATTTTACGTTGATATTTTCGAAAATCGATGAAATCGTTCCGATTTTCATGACATGGATATCCAACGGATAATAAAGAATAAAAACCAGTAATATCAATTTTATGAAATAAAAGAATAAATGTGAAACTATTTGGCTTCTATAAAAAGATAACAATGATACTACATACACCTGGCTGCTTTTTTTGTTTCATCAGAGTGAAGATATGACCTAGACAGTATTAGAGTTTCGAAAATTAAATCTTACAGCAAATAAATAACTAAAAGTTCTACATCTATTTATTATAATGGATCATGACTAATAATGTCACAGTTCACTATCGATTCGAAATAAACACTGTTTGATTGTTGTGATACAATGTCAGTACTGATTTCATCAGATGGAATTAGAGAAAGGTGAGCAACGTTTGAGCAAAATAGGTTTTCGTAGTCATTTATTTCAATTTGTTTACATATTCTTAAATAATTTTGAAAACTACTAGCATAAGGTATGAAGAAGCTTTAAGTATATTATGTTGGTTTTGATTGTTATTTGCCTTTCAGTTTTCCTCAAATTCTATTTCAAGTAACTTATTGTTCAATAGAGCTATGTTAGGCCTACCTACTGTAAAAAAATCAGTTATACCAATGAAATCAATTGAGCAAGATTCTACATTACCCAAGCAGACAAAAAAAATCATGCGATGACCACGATGAGCCCTCGAAAATGTCATATATATATTTTTTGTCCGTTCTTTTTCGATTTCGAGTGCATCGGAAACCATCGGATTTCGAGTAATCGAAAATCATCCTATCCAAAAGACGTGATCGACTTGTCGGGAAGTTACAGATGCGTCGATAACTATCGAAATTTGGAGTACTCGAGATAGATAACTACATCGAAAGAACCATATCGAGTACTCCAACATAAACAAGTTTAAGGTAATAACGATTTCTAATCCTAACATGAATTCCTATTTCATAAAATCCATTCAAAAAGGCATTTACGTATTTATATTTCATGTAGCTGATTTCAGAAATGAACAAATGCTTGGCATATATTGTCATTAATTTTCATGAGATTTTGAATAATATTTAATACTAAATAGTTAGAAAAAGTCAAATTGACGAATAGATGCACACTGAAAATTTTCGGATCCATAAAAATCCATTGCCTGAAAAATTTTTGAAAAATAATAACTGTACGCTTCTTGATAAAATTATCTATTAATCGCTTACCGATATCCTATGAGCTATTCGCATAGTATCGGAACTTAAGAATAGAATCAGATTTCAAAATTAACAGAATAAAAGCAAATTCTGATCTGGTTCCATATTTTTATGAATTACTAACACAGGATAGAAACTTCTAAAACGAATCATGAATTCGATCTATATAACAGTTGAATTGATAACTTTCACAGTAGAAAAACAATTCATATTTAGTTTAGATGTTCAACGACCATAAAACGTAAGTACCTATGTTCAAATCTTCCTCTCTGCGAATATCCGATAGGTTCCGATGACTCGAAAATGAGACATCTATATATCTATGTTCAAAACAAAACTTTTTATTTTGATCCCTCGGACAAATTATTTCGAGGGATCGAAAACTTTGTGATTTCCTTACCCATCGCGGAGCCCTCGACCCATCCGAAAGTGAGAATCCGAACAGTACGTTTTCTATTTCGATGGGTGCGAAAGTCTAAAATCGATGCCTCGAAATGCCCATCGATTGTCTGCTTGGGCAATATATAAAAATTCTCGGCATCTAATAATTATAACAATCACTTACGCACTCACTATTATCAAATATTTATAAAATTATTTATTCACCATCATCAATATTACTACCAATCACGTATCTTACAATTCTTTTCAAATTATCTACACCACGATACAACTCTTTTTGATTCTTTTTAACCCCTCCACAATTCTTTTTTAATTCTTCCACATCATGGTACAATTTTCTGCATCATAACACAATTCATTTTAACGTTTTTGATTTAGTAGCCCTCGATGAAAAACAAACGTTAACAACAAATAATGTAATAGAAACAGGCCACGATTAAAACTGAAATTCCACCATTAGTTTGAGCACTTAGCTCATATCCAAATCCAAACCCAAACTCCCAAACGGTTTGGGTTTGGGTTTGGGTTTGGTGCATGCCTAAGTACAGCATATTTTTCCTACCCGTTATGGCATCATTTTATCGCTCTTGAAAAGTTTTATCCATCCAAAACATGTGTCACTTTTTCTCCATGAAGGACAGTCATGATTAGAACCACTACAACGAACTATCACTGTTCGAATCTGTTCTAAAAAGGACTACTAGGCTAATCTATAGAATGTATTAAATGATCTTCATGAAAATCGCTCATGGACAGCGAGAGCGGTTCAGAAATGCTGGGAAAAACATAACTCATACGATTGAAGT